AAGCCAGTCCAAACCCAGTTTACTAGCCTACATGACAAAGAAAAGAAAAGCAATTTGTCTTACAGCGCCTGTATGCCATGATAACCTATGTAGTCCATAATGTCTGTATGTACTTCCTTGTGAGAGAGTATAAAAAGTTCTGCCTCCCTTTGTTTGGGGAGCTTGATTTGAGGTATACGCCTCCTTGCTCCTTGCCCATGTGTTTGCAATAAATGCTCTTCCTCCCTCCTCACCTCGGTGTGCTTTACTGACAAGACGATGCACCAAGCAGGACCTGCTTCGGGTAATAGTTTGAACTCAGGTGTGCCCAGTAAAATAGAGTATGTCATTGAAGGCCAAGTCTCCCCATCCTCCCTCAGAGGCTTCACTTTTGATTACCCCACTTTCCTTCTTAAATGAGTCCTTTAAACAGGCTCCATTCTCATCTATGATAAAACAAATACTCTCAACCCCACATTTCATCCTCCTCTCTTGCCATTCCCAGAAATTGCCTGTCAACTTCATGACGTCTCCCCTTAACCTTCGTGTGGACCAGGATCTTCTCCCCACCCCTCCCATAAACACTTTTGCCCAATCAACCTCTATAATGCCTTCAGGTTATCAATTTAAATTTCAGTTCCCAATGGCTTCTCTGACTGTGCCTCTCACCCCCCACCAGGTTACCTAGTATCTCCTCATAGCTATTCCAAGAACAGCCTTAAAGAACTCACTGCACTTTATTTCGCTGTGTTCCAGGCAGAAAGCTATACATCTATCTTGTTCACCGCTGTTTCCCCAGTGCCTAACACACTGTCTGGAACATAGTCTCTACTCCATAAACACTAGGTGAATGAAGAAAGTCCAGAGGTAAGATGTCATCTGTTCTGCAAATATTTATTAGGCACCATCATGTGCAAGGTTTGTATTAGGCTCTAGGAGATCCCTATCTGGCCTTCTATAAGCTTACAGTTCAACAGGAAACACATGAGCCCTTCATCATGGGAACAGCACTCTACAGTTTATGAAATGCTTTTATACCTATGACCTTATTTGATTTTCCAATAACTTTGTACAATAAATTTTATTTCTGATTTTACAGATGACAAAACAGGCATTTATACATAAGTTACTTGTCTAAAACTAAATAACAAATGCTGTAGCAACCAGACAAACCCAAACTATAATTCAAGGTGGAATACCAAAAACAAAAGCCGAACCCATCGCCGTCGAGTCAATTCAGACTCACAGCAACTGTAAAGGACAGAATAGAACTGCCTGCCCCACAGGGTTTCCAAGGTTGTAAGAGTTGAGATCAACTCAACGGCAACGGGTTTGGTTTTTTCAGGTAAATCTTTACAGAAGCAGACTGCCACATCTTTGTCTCACAGAAGTGCTGTGTGAGTTCGAACCGCCAACCTTTCGGTTAGTAGCGGAGCACTTAACCAGAGCATCACCAGGGCTCCTAAGGTGGAATAAAAAAAACCAAACCTATTGCCACTGAGTCAATTCCAACTCACAGCAACCCTCCAGGACAGAGCAGAACTGCCCTACAGCATTTCCAAGGAGTGGCTGGTGGATCTGAACTGCCAGCCTTTTGGTTAGCAGCTGAGCTCTTAACCACTGCGCCACGAGGTGGAATAATACTAGAGAAATCCAACGTGTTGTGAGAGTCCTGAAGAGGAGTTACTAGTTAGAGGCTGAAGAATGAACAAATCTGTCTTGGAAGAAGTACTGTCAGAATGCTCCTTAGAGGAGAGAATGGCGAGACTTAGTCTCACATACTTTGGACATGTTATCAGGTGGGACCAGTCCCTGGAGAAGGACATCATGCTTGGTAAAGTAGACGGTCAGTGGAAAAGAGGAAGACCCTCCACGAGATGGACTGACACAGTGGCTGCAACACTGGGCTCAAGCACAGCAACAATTGTGGGGATGGCACAGGACCGGGCAGTGTTTCATTCTCTTGTACACAGGGTTACTATGAGTCGGAACCGACTCGACAGTACTTAACGATAGATTGAATTGTGTCCCCCAAAAATATGAGCTGTGTTGTAAATTCTAAACCCCTATACCTGTGGATAAGGATCCCTCATGGCATAATGGTTAAGCACTCAACTGCTAACTGAAAGGTTGGTGGTTAGAACCCACTCAGCCTTTTTCCAGGAGAAAGACCTGGTGATCTGCTCCAGTAAAGATTTCAGCCTAGAAAACCCTATGGGGCAAGTCTATTCTGTCACACAGGGTCGCTATGAGTTGGATGGCACCTAACAATGGCATTACTTGTAGATGTAGTCCCATTTGGGTATAGAACTTTCTTTGTTATGTTAGTGACACCACATCAGTAAGTATATCTTAAGCCAATCATCTCTGAGATATAAAAAAAGATCAGGCACAGAGAAGGAAACACAAAGGGAGAGGAAGATACACACCAGTGAAGATCACCAAGGAACCAAGGAACAGAAGCTGAAGAGATAAGGACCTTCCCCCTTAGGTGACAGAGAAAGCCTTCCCCTAGAGCCAGCACCCTGATTTTGGACTTCTAGCCTCCTAAACTGTGAGAAAATAAATTTCTGTTTGTTAGAGCCACCCACTTATGGTATTTCTGTTATAGCAGCACTAAGAAACTAAGACATTACACTGACTGGGACATCATGGAAGCTTCATTTTGAGTTGATCTATGAAGAAAGGGTAGAAGTCCAATAGGTAGGAAATGAACAAAGGGCATACCAGACAGAAGGAACAACATGAAAACAGAGAAGAAAGTGTCTACCAAGTGACTGTATGGAGTGTGCCCAGAAACACAGAAAAGTATGGACGGAATGTTTAAGCAAGAAGTGAAAGCTGCTGAGGCTGGAAAGTTAGGGTGATTAAATCTGTAATTTCTTCAAAGATAAAGGCTCTCTCTACTTCATTCTTATATTCTCAGAATCTATTACAGGTCCTGAACAAGTAAAAACATAATAGATAACTATCAAATTGAATAACTCCATAGGTATACTAAAGATGGCTCTTCTGTGGGACTTTGCCTGCTCACAGCCCCTGCTACCCTCAACTGCCACGTTCTCTACCATCAGCCATAACCAGGGATTGGCATAAGCTGAGTCAGTCAGATTCCGTTCTCTAGAACTGAGATTTAGAAACCACAGACTGAGCCCGTCATTATAGGACGCGCGTCAAATGATTCAGTTTTTGAGAAAGGCAGTCAGCAGAGACAGAACCTAAAAACATAAACAGAGAAAAAGACTCCTTATAATTAAGAGGATAAATTTGGACCCTGAGACACATGCAGAAAGGGAACTTATGTTGGATTCTGACTCATTGCTCATTCTCATTTGGTCCCATAAGCCTCTTTTTCCCTGAGGTAAAAAAGTAAGCTTCTGTTCTTTGTCTTCCAGACAGCCCTGAATGATACAGTAGGAGATAAAGCAGAGAAATCAACAGTTCTTGAGCAAAGAACAGAAAGAGAAGGATAACATATTCATACACGTCCCAGCAGTTTAAGTGGCCGACTTGAAACACAAAGAAATCAGAACCCTGGGTACCAGTCAGGGAGCCCACAGGAGAGGGAACCAGGAGGTGGGAATGGAGAAGACATGAGCAATACTAAGATGAACAATACAGAACCCCAGTTTTTGATCCACCAAAATATCCAGAAGAGATATTCTGCATGTAGAAATAAAAGAAACCTTGTGACTAATTAGAGATGGAAAGGTCAAAGGTGACTAGATGCCAAGTGGAGGTCACTGGAAGATGGTGTTGCTATTAATGAAAAAAGAGAAGACAGAGACTTTTCTCTGTTTGGTTATCACCCCCTCCCTCCCATCGCCAAACATGTGTGAATGGGGTGGTGGAGTTCTCTGGATGGCTGAATTTGAAGAACTCCAAAAAAAGCTGGGTTGGAGGAGTCCACTCAGGATTTGGAAAAACAGACCTGGAAATTATTCACACAAAGGGAGACTGGAGAAGGAGGATTCTCAACTTGCATGTACCCACAATTATTTGGGAAGCCACCCCCAAAGAATGGGATTACGTAGATCTGGGGCAGGGCCCAGAAACTGACATTTTAACAAGCACCTCAAAATGGTTCTGATGAAAGTAGTCCAAGTTAGTAAAGATGGAGGAGAACAAAGAACACAATATTCCCGCAGGATTTTTCAACCTTACCTCTGCACCTTGATCCCCTAAGGTGCTTTAAAAAAAATTTAGATGTCTGGTCCTCAGTGTTGTCAAAGTGTTGGCAGGTATCAATTATATCAGAATCACCCCAGAGCGGTGATTCCTGAGCCACACCCCAGGTAAAATGAAAGGGAATCTCTGGAGGTAAGGCTAAGAAAGCTACATGTTTTAACAAGCGCCCCTAGTGTGCAGAGATGGCTTCATAAACAGTTATTAATACGAAAGTATTCTGCATTGGCTTAAACCTTTTTATATATCACAACTCAAAAGGAAAAAAAATCCAACATTGCTGGTTGACAAAACAATCGTTTCCCTATAAAGAAATCATATTTCTGATTTAACGAAGCTTAGTAATCAATGACTTACTGTTATTTTGCTAGGCATTTAGAAGCTGCCACAGGACAATGGAGCAACGGAGCCCCACGAAAGCAAAGCTAGAGAATGGTAACATACAACCTCACCCACGGAAGCCCAGGAAAACAAACCCAAAGCGTCTGCCTCAGAGATACCAGCTAGCGGGATACTAGGGTAAGTGCCAGCGACTGCTTGGTAAAAAGAAAAAAACCTTTTCACTAGCATCCTCCGCACCCCCGAGGCGCTCACCCGCCCCAGGGGAGACTGACTACTAAAGAAACCAAGTCCCAGAAACCTGCAGCCGGTTCCCGCTTGCTTTTGTTTACCTTCTTGGGGCTCCAGAAAACGCTAACTCGCTCAGTGAACTGAACCCCGAAGCTCCCGAGCCTCAGCCGGGTCCCTCCCTTCGGCGTCCTCGCCACCCAGCCTCGCCCACCGCCGCTGCCGCCTGTCACCAGACAAAGCCGCCGCCGGCCGATCTCCACACTCACCGTCTCACAACCTCGCCCGAGGATGGCGGCCTCCGGCACAGGGCAGAAAGGGCCCTGTTTGCCGTAGGCGTTGTCAGAGAACCCGAAAAGGAGAGACGACGGCGTTACCAGCGTCGCTTCAACCACAACCAGCAGCCATTTTCCTCCTTCTCCCTGAACTGAGGGGTCATGTGACCGCTGAGCGGGCCGGGGCGTCACGTGGTCCCGCAGCTCGCTGAGTCGGTAGGGGAAGGACCCTTGAAGGAGGCAGAGCTGGTAGGGGGCTGTCGACCGTACTCCCCGCGTAGGTGGGAGAAGGATGGAGAGCGAAAATAAATATCTGCCGGCAGTGTAGCTATCCACATCCTCCCACTGGCGTCCAAATATGTATTTGACAAGCTTCTGAGGTGATTTTTTTGTTGTCAATGTTATTATTATATTATTAATTTCTATTAACTATAGGGTCGCCAAGAGTTGGAGTCGACTCAACGGTAGCGGGTTTGGGTTTTTGGTTATTAACCATTATTATCAAAACTTCTTCAAAGAAATAAACCAGAATTGTAATTTCAGAAGGCATTGCAAATACGTTGCACATTAAGACCAGCTCAAATCTCTCTGCCTTCTCTCAATTCCTGTCGGATTTATACTCCTGGTCTTCTCATTCAGAACTAGGTTTTTGGAAGGAAGTGCCTGTCTCATTCTCTCCACTTCCTCACTCCCATTCTGGCTTCCTCTTCCATCTGCATAAAAGTCTTCTCACTTGCCAGTTTGCAAGTTCGACTGATAGTTTTCCAGCCATATCCGCCTGACACCATTAACGGTTCCCTCCCTTCTCCCAGCTTCTGTGATTCTGCAACTCTTCTGGTTTTCCTCCCAATCCTCTGGCTGCTCCTCTCAGATTACACTTTTCTTAAAATTTGTTGACATTTCGAGAGTTCAGCCCAAAGCTAGAGTCGCCACCCTCCTCACCCAGTATGATCCTCCCCCAGTATTGCTGTTCTCTACTCTTGGTGGACATAGCTCATTCCACCCATTCGCCCAAGACACACATGTTTCATACTAAACTCTCCCCCTCTTTTGCCTCCCGCTTTCTAATCAGCTCCTTCACCCGGCTCTAGCCACTTCCATCCTCACTGTTGTATTTAAAGGCTTCAGAAGCTCTCAAACAGGATTTCCCCAAAAGCCCCCAACCACTTTCCCTGCCTCCACTCCAGGAGATTGCTAGATCACACGTAAAACTTGTTTGACTAAATTCTTCAGTAACCTATTTGCAAAGAATAGATTTTCAAATCTGTACTTAACATGCAAGCTTCTTCCTGAGCTGGCCCCTGCCAGACCTTTTGCCATTGATCTATCATCCCCTGTCCCTAGCCTCCTTTCCCACCCGAGGCTGGCAAATATTAACAGTTTCTGGAACATTGGGCCATGCTCTTTCTCATCTACATTCTTTTCCAGTGTGTTGTTCCCTTACCTGGATATTCTTCCCTGCTCCTTGTCCAACTAATTCCAACTGATGAGTTCTACTTACCTGTTAAGATATAGTTTAAGAGGTCCCTCTTTTGTGAAGCCTCCTTGATAACCTCAAGCAGAGTTAGCCCTCCATACTCAGCCCTCACCTTCTTTATTCCACAGTGCCTACTGCATAGTAGGTACTCAGAACATAGGTATTAAATCATGTTGGACCTTGTCTTAGTCATCTAGTGCTGCTACAACAGAAATACCACAAGTGGATGGCTTTAACAAAGAGAAATTTATTTCCTTACAGTAAAGTAGGCTAAAAGTCCAAATTCAGGGCGTCAGCTCCAGAAGGCTTTCTCTCTCTCAGCCTTCTCATCAGTGTTCCCCAGGACTAGGAGCTTCTTGGCGCAGGGACCCCAGTCCAAAGGACGCGCTCTGCTCCCGGCACTGCTTTCTTGATGGTATGAGGTCCCCCTGTCTCACTGCTCACTTCTGTCTTTTATATCTCAAGAGATTGCCTCAGGACACAATCCAGTCCTGTAGATCAGGTCCTGCCTTACTAACACAACTGCCACCCATCCTCCCTCATTAACATCGTAGAGGCAGGTTTACAACATACAGGAAAATCACACAGTACTAGGAATCATGGCCCAGCCAAATTGATACACACATTTTTGGGGGGACATAATTCAAACCATGACAGACCTGTTTATTTACTTGTCTTTTCCCCCACTACAAAGTTTACTTCATGTCTTAGTCATCTGGTGCTGCTATAACAGAAATACCACAAGCGGATGGCTCTAACAAACAGAATTTTATTCTCTCACAGGTTAGGAGGCTAGGAGTCCGAATTCCAGGTGCCAGCTCCAGCGAAAAGCTTTTTCTTTCTGTCTGCTCTGGAGGAAGGTCCTTGTCATCAACCTTCCCCTGGTTGAGGAGCTTCTCTGTGCAGGGACCCCAGGTCCAAAGAACACGCTATGCTCCCGGTGCGCCTTTCTCGGTGGTATGAGGTCCCCATGTCTCTCTGCTGGCTTCTCTCTTTTATACCTCAAAAGAGATTGACTTAAAACACAACCCAGTCTTGTAAATCGAGTCCTGCCTCGTTAACATAACTGCCGCTAATCCCACCTCATTAACATCACAGAGATAGGATTTACAACACATAGGAGAATCACATCAGATGACAAAATGGTTGACAATCACACAATACTGGGAATCATGGCCTAGCTAAGTTGACAGCTATTTTGGGGGGACACAATTCAATCCATGACACTTCACCACCAACCCCCCTCACCCTGTTTAGAACAGTGGCCTTGTTACTGCTGTGGAGTTGGCTCCAACTCATGGCGACCCCAAGTACAACAAAACAAATCTAGCTCCCTGGTCCTACACCATCTTCACAATCACTGGTATGCTTGAGTCCATTGTTGCAGCCACTGTGTATTTTCAGTGCCTTCCAACTTAGGGGGCTCGTCTTCCAGCGCTATCTTGGGCAATATTTTGTTGTGATCCATAGAGTTTTCACTGGCTAATTTTCAGAAGTAGATTTCCAGACCTTTCTTCCTACTCTATCTTCGTCTGGAAGCTCTACTGAAACCTGTTTATCATGGGTGACCCTGCTGGTATTTGAAATACCAGTGGCATAGCTTCCAGCATCACAGCAACACACAAGTCACCACAGTACATCAAACTGACAGGTGGTGGTGTCTGGCCTTAGCAAGCCATTAATGAAAGCCACACCATTTACAACTTCATTATATATACTTTGGGGTTCTTCTCTCATTTTTTCATGAGTGTTGCTCCAACTTCTGATGAAGCCATATTCCTCGTTAGCTTTGTTCAATGAGTTTCCACATGGATACACTGATGAACGCTTTCAGCGGTTCTCATCTTGGCTGCACATCAGAAACATCTGTGGAGGACTTTTTAAAAATCAAGACAGAGACTTGTTGGGGGTAAAACCTAGGAATGTGAATTTTAAAATATCCCCCCAGCTGAGTCTAATGAAACACCGTTCTCAGACTTGGGTTTGGGTCCCACTGTGTACAAATTACTGATTTCACATATGTAAATCCCTTTTTAACATTAAAAATACTTTTTGAGGAGCCACGCAGAACAGTAAAACTAAACCCATTGTCATCAAGTTGATTGGTAACCACTGATTGTGAAAGCATCATATGGGAGTTGGAATTTGTAGTCTCAAATTCTGTAGCCTCAGAATGGGAACCTGTGCCTTAAATATAACACTATTTAGCTATTTGGGCATTTGACAGTTTTTCTTGATGGCTTGTGGACAAATAGGGAATATGTGGATTATACATCAGAGGTTGGGTGGATTCAAAAGTCACGGAAAGATCTCACTGAATGTGTTGGTTAGTGAAACGCTGACTCAGGAAGATGAGGTTCTTGAAGTCTTAAGAGCCTCCCCCAGTAAAACCCCATTTTGAAAAGGGCTGCCCCCATGTTAATCCTCACCCTCCCATCTTCCCAGCCCACTCACCTCCCAAAGCCTATCTCCTTGACCGCTATAGTTTCTATAACTCCAGCAGCATTGCTTGAAACCACCCCACCAAAACAAGCCCAGAGGCTGGCTTTCCACAGATACAGGAAGCAGAGGTCTAGGCTCATGCCAGCGTGAGCTCTGCCCATCAGCTAGATACATGGTCAGTGCAGCAAACCTGCACCATCAAAGAGCAAAGGTGGGAAGGAGGGGAGGCAATGGGTTCTTTAGCTCACATGGTCCCCAGCACAGTGGGGTTCTCAGTGAAGAACCACACACACCTCCATCTCAGAAGAAGTGGGACATTGAGTTACAGACGCTGATGAGACAACTAGCCGTGCTGTCTGAACCTCCTCGCCTCTCCCCTCCCCAAGTCAAAATTCCTGAGGATTCTCCATGTACAAGCTCTTTCTTAGGAATATTTTAAAAAGCAGTCCAGATAACAGCCTGGAAAGAAGTTACTAGAAACCGACTTGACTTTAGGGTGAGAGAAGGGTGGCAGGGTGGGGGACAAGAGGAGAAGCACTGAAGCAGAGAATAGATTTCACAATTAGGGATCCTCCCCTCTTTATGGGCCTGGACTGGGGAATGGAGAAATTTTAAGTTCTGAGTTTTTATTTTTATACCATGCCAGAGATTTAACTACCAAAATGAGAATTTTTTTACTGTTGTAAAAATACAGATAACACATTTGCCAATTTGACATTTTTCATGTGTACAATTCAGTGAGACCAATTACATCAATCATGTTGTACATCCATCGCCAATATCCTTTGCCAATTTTCCATCATTGTAAACAGAAACTCATTGATTCCCAAGCAATGAACTCCCCATTTCCCCCTCCCTCCCATCCCTGGTAACCACTATTAAACTCTGATGTCTATATATTTGCGTATTCACAGTATTTCATATTATTAATCACAATATTTGTCCTTTTGTGATTGACTTATTCAGCATAATGTTTTCAGGGTTCATCCATGTTGTGACATGTATTAGGACTTAATTTCTCTTAATGGCAAAGTAATATTCCATAGTATGTATATACCACATTTTGTTTATCCATTCATCTGTTGATGGGCATTTGGGTTGTTTACCCTTTTGGCTATTGTGACTAGTGCAGCAGGGAACACTGGTGTACATGTGCCTATTTTCCTCGCTACTTTGAAGTCTCTTGCGTATATACCTGTCATGGATTGAATTATGTCCCGCAAAAAATTGTGTGTATCAGTTTGGCTGGGCCATGATTCCT